CGGATGACATATGAGGCCGAGTCCACACAGCATGGTGCGCTACTGCAGAGGATCCTAGCCCGCTGGGGCAGGGGCTGCGCCAATGTGGTTCTCTGCGGTGTAGAAATAAAACAAAGGCTAAAGAGCTAGCGGGGCAACCTGACCCGTTCTAGTAGTACGAATTCGAAGTTACGTGTATAGTAGTCAAAACGTGCAAGGAAGACATTTGTCCCCACGAAAACTAATACTTTAGTGGAACGAAATATAGGACATTCGCCACTCAATACTATCGATGTCAATTCTTCGTGAAACTTCATATGTAAGTAGTGGGTGGAACACCCTACCAAGTGAAGCATAATCTTCTTCTTTGTTGCCGATTTAAGTTTTGTGTCCAGACTATACATACTCGGTCGCTGTGGCATAACTGGACCGAGTAGAGATAAACAAGGGTTAAAGAGCTAGCGTGGGGATTGGGGAAATCAACCCGTTCTAGTCAGTAGTACGAAGTTGTGTATATAGAGGAGTCAAAACATGCAGGGGGAGGAGATTTGTCACCGCGAGCGGCGTTCGAAAGCTAATATTTAGTGGAACGGAAGACATGACATCCTTTTCATCGAACGATATTACGTAGGTTCAAAACTTGCATGGCAAGAAATATATATTTTTGCGAAAAAAACTTTCAATCAGTTCATCTTTAATCATAATAGTACAACAAACACCAGAAATAATAAAAATTATATCCAGATTCATAGATAGACCACTTAATATTATGACCAGAAATAATAATAACTGAGCTTTGGACTTTGACTTGATTATACATCAAAAGGAAACGGGAGGAAACTTTAGTTAGTAGTTTGACTTGGATTGTTGTTCCGGCCAGAGATAGACCAGCGAGAGTCGAAAGGAGATTCATTCCTGAATTCACACGTGTATCCATCCTAGCTCAGTTGCAGCCAATCATCTCATACACATCAATATCTTATCTACTAGTCTTTTTGGACGCGATGGTGACTATTTTGTTTTTTGTTTTGTTGAAGAGTACGATGGTGACTATATTGCTAAGCAACCGGCTGCCGCAAAAACTATGGACGGACCAAGTCATTCTAAACATCGACTGCATGTCGCATACAAGGATTGACTAGTGGTATGCACCTCCGTTTTGATGTAGTGTGCCTGCGTTTTCCCGAGATCTAAGTTTGATCACAAATTTAGCAAACAAGACCGACTGCGATGAGAGCAAAAAATTAAAAAGATATATGGGACTTTCAGTTTTTTCCATGTGAATTTTTTTCTTGGATGCAATATTTTGTTTAATTTTTGGTAGATCAAGCCAATTTTTTTTATCACAATCGTACAAATTTGTGTTGTCGGTGGATGCAAATTTCTATTGTGTTGGAAACAAAAATGAAGTGTTAGATACAAAGTTTTCATTTTATTGAAGCAATTGCAGAAAAGTTTATTAGCAGTGAGCGACGGAAGCAGGGAAATAAGTTGGTTCTAGGAAAAGTTGAGCGATGGAACAGAAGCAGGAAGCTGACAACTTGTTTCTAAGAAACAAAGGCCCCGAGAAGTTAACGGGAGTGGTTACAAGAAGCACGTAATTTAAGGAGGACGTTACTAAAAATCTAACAAACAATCAGCATCATTTCCCTACAGGATCCAATGGCTTCTCTGCTACTAATCCTATGGCCATGGACTAGTCTGATGAAACAGTAAGGATCAATAATCTGATCCTTAGTGGTTCCTTTAACAGAATTGTGCATAGTTATGATGATCATCCAATGCATATAATCAATATATAGGCATTACGTTTGTGATAAGTAGACCGTAATCCAACTGCATCTACTACTATTACTCCACCCCAAGACCTCTATCCAACACGCATATGAAAGTATTTCATACAAATAGAGTAACACATTAAGCAAGATGACATTGTTAGTATGGATGATCAAGACTGCAAAGGTATCAACTCCTTTGCTTGTTATTGGATAACTTCCTTTTTTATAAGTGCGCTTTGTACAAAAAAGGCGACACGAGTGAGTATGCAAGAATGTTGAGAGTTGTCTTGATGACACTAGCTGGATATGGACGGCTCCCCCGCTCCCCCGACCTAGGGTTCCTCCCTCCCTCCCCCGTCGCCGCCGGCCGTCCTAGGCCCCGCTGGTCGCCGGCCGCCCCCGCCTCGCCCCCTCCCCCTTCCCCCGGATCCGCTCCACGCCGCCTCCCCAGGAGGTGGCCGGGGCGGCGCGAGCCCTGCCTCCCCTTCAGCCACCCTCGTCGCTCCTTCCCTCCCTGCCGCCGCCGACGGGCGCCCCCGGCGCTGGCCGGGTGGTGTTGGCAGCGGCGAGGCCTGCCTGTCCCCGTGTGCGGCTCCCTGCCCGGGGCATGGGGGCGGCGGCGGTGCCCCTCAGCCTGATGACGGCCTGGCCTCCCGGCGCGGTGGCCGGCGGCTCGCTCGGTGGTGGCGCGGCCCCTTGACAGCGAGACGACGTGGTGGTGCTGGTTGGCCGGTGGCACGCTCCCGGCCCAGATCGGGGCCCGCGGGCCCCATCTGGGTCCTAGCGGGCCGGCCCCCGGCGTGGCTTCGTTGTCATCCGTGTGGTGAGGTGGTGGAGTAGCTCGGACGGGGGGCAGCGACGCCGACGGCATGCCAGCTGTGGCGCGGAGACGGGAGTTGTCCGGGCCTCTAAGGGCCCGGCCGGGCCTGTGGGGCCACGGGCCCGGCAGGCTCCCGCTTTGGTGTCCGGTCGGCTACCGTCGTGGACGGTGGAGGTGGGGCCCTCCAGTATGCTGATGGTGCTGCTGCCCTAGTCCCGGCCCCCCTTCCTCATTGTGCAGGCCATCTTCGTGGTGCCGTGGTGAGACTGCGTGGGAAGCTTCGTGTCCGTGTGCACAGGGTGGTGGTCGGTTTGGTGGCGAGCACCGGAGTGCCTGAGGTGGAGAATGGGATCGGGAGAAATCCATGTTGGCTTGGCCGACACCGACGCGGTGGCGCCTAAGGCTCCCATCAGACCGTCCTGGAGGGCGTCGGGGCTACCCTTCCTCTTTCCTCACCGTGTACCGGGGGAAACCCTTGGCAGCAGCGTCGTCATTGCCGCATCCCTTCTTGGAGGTGTTGATTGGTACCGGCGCTTCGGAGCCTCGGAGCTTGGGGGACGATTTCCGGTGGAAGCAGCGGTCGCGAGGCTCCGTCGTCTTTGTCGATCCGTCATTATCGGCATTTGTTTCTTTTCTTTTTTCTCTATCTTTTCTTTTTGGGCGTGATTGTGCTGCTTCCGCTCCGGCACCTATCGTTGGTTGTATCAGGTGTTTGCTTTGTAATACAGAGGGGGGACCCTTTTTCTCAATGTTCTAAATGTTTGGAGTCTTTAGGAGTTTGCAATGTGTTTGTTTCTTTTTTGGTTTCTTGCTTTATATGTATATAAATGGAATGATAAGTTATGTACTTTGTCACTCACGTAAAGAATAAAGATTAACACATGTTAGTAGAGCATGTTTGATTCTTTGTTGATGTTTACCGGTGCAACAAAGCGCGCCTTTTGGTTCTAGTTAAGTACAATGTTAAGAGATGTCTTGATGATACTGAATGTTCTAAAATGATTGGTGTCTTTAGGAGGTAGCAATGTGCAGTTTCTTTTTTGGCTTGCTTTGTATGTATATAAATAGAATGAGAAGTTATGTACTTTATCACTCATGTAAAGAATAAAGATTAAACACATGTCAGTAGAGCATGTTTGAATCTTCGTTGCCGTTCACACGCCTTTTGCTTCTAGTTAAATAGCATGTTGGCTTATTGTTTGCATGCATAGATACACCATTAGATATCTCTCTGCACAACATGACATTGCCAAATAATTTATTTAGAATAGTAAAACCAAACCATTTCCCAACCCTCTCATGCATCCTTACTCACGAGCCGTCAGATTTTGTGTTTGGAACGTCCATGCCCGTTCGATCTGAGTTTAGATCGTGAATTGAGCCCGATGTCCTAATGGGTTGCTACTCCCATAGCATTTTTGGAATCAAGTGGTTAATATGAGTATGCGATTGTACCGTTGACCCGTTAAGCAATTTTTTGGCGAGACCCCCACACCCATCAATCCTATTCGGTTTGTGTGGGATTCCGGACATCCAAACTGGTCCGTGGATATTTGGTGACTCCCATTGGATTGATGACCAAACGGTCTTCCAGACTATTCGGTCCGGATATTTAGGGGGGCAGAATTGGTGTGCCTCGTTGGAGTTTCCCTAACCCGCGATGCCATCTATGTATGTATCGGCGCATGGAAAGCGGAGCCCAAGTGCGAGTGTCTCTCCCGCACAAGATGGGCAACCGTCGCGGGGTGGCCGGTTGTTATCCGTAGAACACGTCCGCGCCCATACCGATGAGGCAAGCGACGATAAGGATGTTGGATAAGTTGTGCCGTTGCGGAATCGGTTGCCGAGGGTTGGTCTCATTGTCGACCGGGAAAGAAAAACACAACAACACCTCTGCGATGTGGGGCCATAATGGGTGATGCTAGTCCTGATTTTCTGACCAGTTCTCGCCCGTCCATCATTATTTGACTATACACAACAACATAATCTTTGTAAAACTGAATAACACAAGATAGTTTGGCAACCGCAAAATCAGAACTTGAAGTTGGATGGGAAGGAGGATTGTTGATGCAGGAGGGGAGTACGAGGGGTGACTGGTTGAGGCAACGCGGCGTGGGTGCGGGTGTGAATGAATGAGCAAATAAACAAAAAAAACCACACGTGATGCACAACACAATAATAGTAGTAGTACCACAATAAGCAAAGGGAAATCGCAATAGTATCACTGCTGCCTGCCGGCCATCTACCTAACCTCACCATACGTCCCCTCACCATACACCACCGGGAGGAAGAGTGGAGAGGAGACCACGCCGCGCACGCCATTAATACCTCCGTGCTCCGCGCAGACACCACACACCACCAAAACCTCGTGCTTCTCGCCCCCAACCAGCCGCGCGCCGGCAGCGAGAGCTACGAGGACTAAGATGGCGGACGGCGGAGGGGAGCCGGACCAGCTGGCGGGGGAGAGGGCCACCGCCCAGTTCGACGTGGACGGCATGAAGGTCGCCTGGGCCGGCTCCCGCCACGCCGTCGAGGTCGCCGACCGCATGGCCCGACTCGTCGCCTCCGACCCCGTAAGCAGCACCAACACCCCATCCCCCTCCACCCCCCAATTCCGCCGATCTCCCTCCGTTCCCCTCCATGGACGGACGGGCATGATAGATAGATCTCACTTGTCCAGATTGGATTCCACTAGATGCGTGCGCTGCTTCCCCCACCTACCACCACCTCCCCAGCCCCGGGATGGGATACCTAGCAGCGACTAGTATTCAGTGCTACTACAATTATTCATCAGTTCGTCACCCTGCCTGCTTTGTTGATCCCCTCCGATTTGACTAGAGATTTTGCAAAATAACATTGGAAGGATTCCTTTTTTCTCCCACCTGATTCGGTTGGCTTGGTACATACTAGTATATTCCATTGAAGAGGGGACAAGCTGTGCAGCGCACAAGAATTCTCTGTCTCTCTGTAACACGCACTAGTTAGTTATATTACCACGCAGCTAGTTTTAGCAAAACTACTGGCTGTCAACTTCATCCATGATCGCCCACAGCTTTGGATGCTCCACCTCCCTGCCCTGCTTGTGATTCGCACCACGAATATGCTCAAGGATTCCACTCATTCTCAACTTTTTAGTTCAGTACCCCCCTTCTGATTGGCGCTTTGTGATTTCCTTAGCTTTGCGCCAAACCACTGCACCGGCAGCTTTCATGAGCATGTTTATTCAGTTGCTAGGATATGTATGCTGTGCTCCCCCTGTTCCAAGCTTGATACTTCACTCATTGTATGACCAACAACCAGACACTGCCACAAGTACCTCTTTGTTTTGGTCCTCCAAAGATTCTTCTTAGCAAACTTTAACACTGAACCAAACTGTCGCCTGGTTTTGATTCTGTACTGCACACGAAATGTTTCTATCAGGTCGCGGTATGTTTTGATACCTCTTATGTTGAATGCCTTTACAAAAATCTATCCAGGTGTTCCGCAAGGATACCAGGACGATGCTCTCCAGGAAGGAGCTGTTCAAGGACACGCTCAAGAAGGCGGCGCACGCGTGGAAGCGCATTGTCGAGCTGCGTCTCACAGGTCCTGCACATGCCCAACACCAACCCCAAGCTTTCTCCACCATTTATTTGTGACCTGGGTTTATTATTACTCTTGACTGAAGTACGGCCGTGTTCTTTTTTGCGGATTAACAGAGGAGGAAGCAAACTTGCTGAGGCTGTATGTTGACCAGCCTGGTTATGTCGATCTCCATTGGGTATGTCTATCCATTCTTTATATACTCATTCCTCAGTATGTACAATGTTCACACATTTAGCTGTTCTTCACTTGTGTTATGTCTATGTGCTGAGGACATGCCCGAGCTAGTCCTACATATGTTCTACAGATTGCTTCTCACATAGATTCAGAATCCTTTGCCACTTCGGGCCTTCCTAGAAGTAGTTTATTTTAGAAGAACACACCACATTGGTCAACAGATAGATTCTCTTTGTGCAGGCGTCATCCGCATTACTGAACTCTGATAAGTTTATCCTCAGTTCGCTTCAATTGTCTTCGATTTTTCAAGGACTGAATCTAAGAATATAAATTATTTTCTCAAATTGGTAACAACACTTAAATGGAATGCTCCTTTTGCAGGGCATGTTTGTTCCTGCCATAAAAGGGCAAGGGACTGAGGAGCAACAGAAGAAGTGGTTACCTATGGCGTACAAGTTCCAAATAATCGGATGCTATGCTCAGACTGAACTTGGTCATGGTTCAAATGTTCAGGGTCTTGAGACAACTGCCACATTTGATCCAAGTGCCGATGAGTTTGTTATGCACAGCCCAACTCTGACCTCAAGCAAGGTAGACATTTTGTAAACCTGCTTATATAATTTACTTCTTTATTTTAGGACTTTGCTTCCTTAGTTATATTCCCTCAGCAATCTGAAATTTCTCAAGGGCCTCCTTTTGCGTGGTTAATGATTTCCCCTCTCCAATGTGCAGTGGTGGCCTGGTGGCTTGGGAAAAGCTTCCACTCATGCAGTCGTCTATGCTCGTCTCATAACGGAAGGAAAAGATTATGGCATACATGGTAAATGCTTCTGCATTTTATGGTGACACTTAAGTGGGATTTTCCTTTGCGAACTGTAACTCATGGGCATCCATATTTCAGGTTTCATCGTGCAGTTGCGAAGCTTAGATGACCACTCTCCCCTTCCTGGAGTTACTCTCGGTGATATTGGTGGAAAGTTTGGCAGTGGGGCGTATAACAGCATGGATAATGGTGTTCTGCGCTTCGACCATGTGCGCATTCCAAGGGATCAAATGTTGATGAGGTTGGTCCGTTGGCATGCTTTTTGTTTTGCCGCTTTATGTGTTTGCCAAACATATCCTGTTTGTTTGATGTAATTCCTCCTAAAATATGCCATGGTTATTTCTTCTAGGCTTTCCCAAGTCACAAGGGAGGGAAAGTATGTGCACTCAGATGTGCCAAAGCAGCTGCTATACGGGACAATGGTTTATGTCCGTCAGACAATTGTCGCAGATGCTTCCAAGGCTTTGTCCCGTGCTGTTTGCATTGCTGTAAGGTATAGTGCTATCCGGAAGCAGTTCGGTTCCCAAGATGGTGGCCCTGAGACTCAGGTACTACAGTCAACCTTTCTGATTCTCATTTGTTTGTTTTCTTCAGTGTTCCCAACAGTACAAGACTATAATGTATTTAAACTGCTTGCAGGTCCTCAATTACAAGACTCAACAGAGCAGGCTCTTCCCTTTGCTGGCTTCAGCTTATGCTTATAGATTTGTGGGTCAGTGGCTGAAGTGGCTATACACGGATGTCACACAGAAGCTGGAAGCTAAGGATTACTCAACACTGCCGGAAGCTCATGCCTGTACTGCTGGGCTCAAGTCTGTGACAACATCTGCAACAGCTGTACGTATAATCAATTAATTCATCAATGCCTTAAACAATTATACTTGTTTACTGGTTTATACTGAATTTTGCAAAATCGAACCTTCCAGTTTCATCATTTCATCATTATCACTTGTTGTTTATAGCATGTCAACCAAAACCTGAGCTTGATTTCCCTGTTTGTTAATTTTGATACTAGAGCTTGTCAATGTAGTTGTTGATGAAGCTCCATTGGAGCATAAGAAATTTACAGACTGTCTAGTAACAGCTTATAATTAGGATTTCACATGCATGGTCAAGCCACTTATATAATGGATGCATCTCACAATTTAATGTTCTGTAATAATAAAGCTAGCCTCTCTGTTATGCAGGACGCAATTGAAGAGTGCCGAAAGCTCTGTGGCGGACATGGTTACCTGAACAGCAGTGGGCTTCCAGAACTGTTTGCGGTCTATGTTCCTGCCTGCACCTATGAAGGAGACAATGTTGTTTTGTTGTTGCAGGTTAGTGTCGTTTTGCACCTGATCCGCTTTAACCTGTTTTTTTGTACCTTTGGTTCAGTATTGGCCAGTAGTGTAATCACAACCTTTGGTGCTCTCTGCAGGTTGCAAGGTTTTTGATGAAGACTGTTGCTCAGGTGGCCACTGGGAAGCAACCTGTTGGCACCATAGCTTACATGGGCAACATACAGCACTTGATGCAATGCAAAAGTGCTGTAAATACAGGTATGCAGCTAGATCTTCAGGCAGGCTCGTTATTATAACATAACTTATGCAACTGTATGAGACGTTTTGTCTGAAGCTTCTTTTTGGTGAAGCGATTGACCTTGTGATTGACCGCCGTACTGATTCATGTATCAATGATTCTCCGCAGCCGAAGACTGGCTCAATCCTGCTGCCATAAAGGAGGTGTTTGAAGCTAGGGCCCTGAGGATGGCGGTGAACTGTGCCCAGAACATCAGCAAGGCGCCAAGCCAAGAAGAAGGTTGGTGTTGCACGTACTCATCAGTAATTAGAAACATGGAAGCATCGGTGCTGTTGTAGCATCTCTCGGTGAATTACTAGTTGCAGTCAGTGACAGAGATGGTCTGGTGCCTTGCAGGTTTCTCTGAGCTCTCACCTGATTTGCTCGAGGCTGCCGTGGCTCATGTCCAGCTGATCATTGTGACCAAGTGAGTTGTTGCTCTTAGGCTGGGGTTGCTGTATGTCCATTTTCCGGGATAACCCAATCATTCAGTTCATTCTTCTTATGCCTCCTCCTATGTGTTGTAGGTTCATCGAGAAGCTGCAGGAGGACATCCCTGGCCCCGGGGTGAAGGAACAGCTCCAGAAGCTGTGCAGCATCTATGCGCTCCACCTCCTGCACAAGCACCTGGGCGACTTCCTGTCGACGGGATGCATCACGGCCAGGCAGGGCGCGCTGGCCAACGAGCTGCTCGGGAAGCTCTACGCGCAGGTAAGAAGAATCAAGGCCAATCGATCAATTGTCCGACAGACAGACACAGTCGATGAAGCTTTTCCAGAAGACTGTACTGAACTGAATGTTGTGCAGGTGCGTCCTAACGCGGTGGCGCTGGTGGACGCGTTCGACTACACGGACCACTACCTGGGGTCGGTGCTGGGGCGGTACGACGGGGACGTGTACCCGGCGCTGTACGAGGAGGCGTGGAAGGACCCGCTGAATGAGACGGTGGTGCCCGACGGGTACCAGGAACACCTCCGGCCGCTGCTGAAGCAGCAGCTCAAGCTCTCCAGGCTATGATACGATAGATCCTTCATCTCTGAATGTATCCACGTTGGGCTGTGGATGTGAAGCAGTAATAATAATCATCAAAAGAGAGGTGATTGGTTCTTGTTGACTTGGCAAGGCAAGAGGGACAGACAGACGCTGTTGTTAGTAGAAGAATAAAAAGGATTGTACTCCCTCCCTACTGGGTGATTAATTAGCAATATATTGGGCAGTATTAGTACGGTTGAAGGCTGTGGTTGTCATTTTGGTTATTGCATGTTTAGCCAGTGCCAGTATTATTGAGATACTTATCGGTAGCAAGTGTGTGGATGGATTCATTTCTACAGAATGTACAAGGAGGAAAATGGGGAGAATAATGGATGGACTGGTTTATCTTAAATTTCCCTGTTTTTTTCTATCTAGGTGCATTCATGTCAATACCTTGCTCTTTTTTTGTTTTTTTAGTACTATCAAAAGGGCCCGTGCGTTGCACCGGGAGGAAAAAACAGATCATAATCTTGACCACATTTTGTTCACATCTCGTTGCATGATTCTCAAAATTTGTTCACATATGCACGAAAATGTTTCTTTGTTTAAAATTTATTCACAAATTGAAGGAATGTTCACATTTTCAAAAAAATATCGTAGTTGTCAAAAAACTTGTTAATTCAAAGAACTATTATTTTGAATTTCAAGAAACATTTAAAAAACATACTATAATATTCTGATCCATCCCGCCAGTTAATTCACAAAGACTCAAAAGCATTACAATTTAACTACATACCTTCGATCATTCATGAACATTGTTACAAGTTTGGGAATGTTTTTAAAAATCATGAACATTTTTTACTATTTAAAAATATTTAAAAAAATTGAGAGCATGTTTTTATATTGCGAACGGTTTTTAAACAATGTTTCTTGAATCAGCGAACAATTCTAGACTGGATGAACATTTTTTCAAAATTGGTGGATTTTTTAATTCACTAACATTTTTTTGAAATGCATGAACATTTTCTGAATCAGCAAACATTTTATAAATCCATAAATACTTTTGTAATTCATGAACTTTTTTAAAATTTTAGGACATTATTTAAAATGGATGAAGAAATTTTGAGTTAGGAAACGTTCAGTTTCATTAATAATTTTAAATACACGGATTTGTTTTTTCAAAATCATGGAGTTTTATTGATTGTACTAATTTTTTCCGATTATGCAAACATTTTTAATATAAACCCCGAACATTTTTTGAATTAACAATCTTTTTATATTTTCTTGAAAATTTTATTTCAAAATTCAATGTTTTTTAATTTCAAAAGTTTTTGAAGTTCCAAATTATTTAAGTAGAAAAAAACATAAATGTAAGAAAAGTAGAAATAGAAAATAAAACTAAAAAAACAGGTGCCCGTGTATGGGCCGGCCCAAACTGAAGCGCTGTGTCTTCTGCAGCGCGCAGTATAGTAGGTCCGTATGCTTGGGCCGGCCCAGGCAGGTGGCTAATATTTTGCAACTTTATGGACAATTTTAATGATGTATCGCCAGAAGCAATAGCCCCTTTATTATTACTAGTAAAAAATTGTCTCAAAAAGAATTACTAGCAAAAAATCCCGTGCATTGCAACAGAAAGAAAAGGAACAACACACGCCTCTAACGCAATAATCATGACTTAAGATCTCAATAGGCCCACGTTTTTTATTTCAACATGACAACAGTGACCACACAATCACAACGCGTTTGAATGTGGCAATCTTAATGCATGTCTCCCTCGGCATAAGGTTAGAAATTTGATTTCTTTGCCTCCTGCGAGGTTTTTCCATTGCATGCATATGTGGTTATAGATGGTTTCCTCGCCTCGCCTGTCCCTCTCGCCGGTCCCTCTTGCCAATCCATGCCGGGCTGCTGGCCACAACTCCATCGGCAGTCAGTGGCGGAGCCAGGGGTATTCCCTGGTATTCCATGGAATACCCATGATTTTGGGGCAAAAAAAATTATATATACATATATATTACGTATATAGATTGAAGCAGCCAAAGCCTACTCGACACATGTCTAGGTCCAGCCAACACAACAACTCAAGGCCTCAAACTGGCTGACTCCAGTCCAGTACGCATCATCTATTCTTCCCTGCGCCCCACGACTTAGTGATACGTCCATTTTGCATCATGTTTTTATATCGATATTTAGTGCATTATGGGCTGTTACTACACATTATGTCACAATACTTATGCCTTTTATCTCTTATTTTACAAGGTTTACATGAAAAGGGAGAATGCCGGCAGCTAGAATTCTGGGCTGGAAAAGGAGCAAATATTAGAGACCTATTCTGCACAACTCCAAAAGTCCTGAAACTTCACAGGAGCACGTTTTGGAATATATTAAAAATACTGGCGAAAGAATCAACCAGAGGGGGCCCACACCCTGGCCATGAGGGTGGGGGGCGCGCCCTACCCCCTGGGCGCGCCCCCTGTCTCGTGGGCCCCCTGGCAAGCCTCCGGTGTCCATCTTCTGCTATATAAAGTCTTTCGTTCGAGAAAAAAATCATAAGCAAGCTTTCGGGACGAAACACCGCCGCCATGAGGCGGAACCTTGGCGGAACCAATCTAGGGCTCCGGCGGAGCTGTTCTGCCGGGGAAACATCCCTCTGGGAGGGGGAAATCATCACCATCGTCATCATCATCGATCCTCTCAGCGGGAGGGGGTCAATCTCCATCAACATCTTCACCAACACCATCTCCTCTAAAATCCTAGTTCACTTCTTGTATCCAATCTTTGTCCCAAAACCTCAGATTGGTACGTGTGGGTTGCTAGTAGTGTTGATTACTCCTTGTAGTTGATGCTAGTTGGTTTATTTGGTGGAAGATCATATGTTCAGATCCTTTATGCATATTAATACCCCTCTGATTATGAACATGAATATGATTTGTGATTAGTTATGTTTGTTCCTGAGGACATGGGAGAAATCTTGCTATAAGTAGTCATGTGAATTTGGTATTCGTTCGATATTTTGATGAGATGTATGTTGTCTCTCCTGCAAAAACAAGTTAGACGTCCTCTAATTGTTGTTTGCATGTTTTACGTGGCTGGTATGGGTTTCTAGCAAGAACGTTTCTTACCTACGCAAAACCACAACGTGATATGTCAATTGCTATTTACCCTTCATAAGGACCCTTTTCATCGAATCCGATCCGACTAAAGTGGGAGAGACTGGCACCCGCTAGCCACCTTATGCAACTAGTGCATGTCAGTCGGTGGAACCTGTCTCACGTAAGTGTACGTGTAAGGTCGGTCCGGGCCGCCTCATCCCACAATGCTGCCGAATCAAGATTGGACTAGTAACGGTAAGCATATTGAACAAAATCAACGCCCACAACTACTTTGTGTTCTACTCGTGCAAAGAATCTACGCAATAGACCTAGCTCATGATGCCACTGTTGGAGAACGTAGCAGAAATTCAAAATTTTCCTACGTGTCACCAAGATCTATCTATGGAGAAACCAGCAACGAGGGGAAGAAGAGTGCATCTACATACCCTTGTAGATCGCTAAGCGGAAGCGTTCAAGTGAACGGTGTTGATGGAGTCGTACTGGTCGTGATCCAAATCACCGATGATCCTAGTGCCGAACGGACGGCACCTCCGCGTTCAACACACGTACAACCCGGTGACGTCTCCCATGCCTTGATCCAGCAAGGAGAAAGGGAGAGGTTGAGGAAGACTCCGTCCAGCAGCAGCACAACGGCGTGGTGGTGGTGGAGGAGCGTGGCACTCCAGCAGGGCTTCGCCAAGCACCGCAAGAGACGAGGAGGGAGAGGGGTAGGGCTGCGCCAAGAGGGAGATGTTCTTGTGTCTATGGCAGCCCAAAACCCCCACTATATATAGGGGAAAGGGAGGGGCTGCACCCCCACCTAGGTTTCCACCCCTAGGGGCGGCGGCCAGCCCTAGATCCCATCTAGGGGGCGGCCAAGGGGGGAGAGAGGGGGGGGGGGGCGCACCACTAGGTGGGCCTTAGGCCCATCTGAGCCTAGGGTTTCCCCCTTTTCCCTTCTCTCTTCGCCTCGGGCCCTGATGGGGGGGGGCATCAGCCCACCTGGGGCTGGTCCCCTCTCACACTTGGCCCACGCAGCCCTCTGGGGCAGGTGGCCCCACTTGGTGGACCCCCGGGACCCTCCCGGTGGTCCCGGTACGTTACCGATAAAACCCGAAACTTTTTCGGTGACCAAAACAGGACTTCCCATATATAAATCTTTACCTCCGGACCATTCCGGAACTCCTGGTGACGTCCGGGATCTCATCCGGGACTCCGAACAACATTCGGTAACCACATACAAACTTCCTTTATAACCCTAGCGTCATCGAACCTTAAGTGTGTAGACCCTACGGGTTCGGGAACCATGCAGACATGACCGAGACGTTCTCCGGTCAATAACCAACAGCGGGATCTGGATACCCATGTTGGCTCCCACATGTTCCACGATGATCTCATCGGATGAACCACGATGTCGAGGATTCAATCAATCCCGTATTCAATTCCCTTTGTCAAGCGGTATAGCACTTGCCCGAGATTCGATCGTCGGTATGCCGATACCTTGTTCAATCTCGTTACCGGCAAGTCTCTTTACTCGTTCCGTAACACATCATCCCGTGATCAACTCCTTGGTCACATTGTGCACATTATGATGATGTCCTACCGAGTGGGCCCAGAGATACCTCTCCGTCACACGGAGTGACAAATTCCAGTCTCGATTCGTGCCAACCCAACAGACACTTTCAGAGATACCCGTAGTGCACCTTTATAGCCACCCAGTTACGGTGTGACGTTTGGCACACCCAAAGTATTCCTACGGCATCCGGGAGTTGCACAATCTCATGGTCTAAGGAAATGATACTTGACATTAGAAAAGCTTTAGCATACGAACTACACGATCTTGTGCTAGGCTTAGGATTGGGTCTTGTCCATCACATCATTCTTCTAATGATGTGATCCCGTTATCAATGACATCCAATGTCCATGGTCAGGAAACCGTAACCATCTATTGAT